TCTGCTGTGGGGAGGCCGGAAGCGTGAACGTCTGGCGGATGCCCTCCGCACGACAGAAAGCCCTCAGAAGGTCGGAGGAAAACTCACCACCCGTGTCTGAGTGCAGACGCAGAACAGGAAAGTCCGAGCCGAAACTCTCTCTGAGCTGGAGACGAGCAGTGCGGATCCAGTCGATCAACACCTCAGTGACCTCACCCTTGCGGCGCAAGGGGAAGACTGTGGTGTAGCGCGAGTAGTCGTCAACGACCAGCAGGAAGTAACGCTCGTGACCCTGTCCACGAACGCGGGCTAGGCCCCACACGTCCATGTGGAGAGTCTGCAGAGGAGCCTCTGTCGGAGGAAACTCGGAGGAGTGAGGAGCGGCGCGCTGCCGGCCCTCAACACAAGGAACACAGGTAGGGGCAGGCCCCGGAGGAAGGGGAGGGAGGGACGGGGGGAGACCTGAGACAAGGACATGGGAGGCCATACCTCGGAGACGAGGCAGGGAGGGGTGACCAAGGCGGTGGTGCCAAAGAAGAGTCTCGTGTGACAGAGGACGACACGAGCAGGGGGCAGACGCCGGACTAGACCTGGACGCAGCAGCAAACACCTGACCAGACGCGGCTACTTGACCAGACGCAGTAGTAGGAGGAGAACAGGCTCGACCCAGGCCGACGGGTGAACGTGGCCAGGTGGCGGCCCGTCCGAGAGCAAGTACAGTGGGTCACACGCTGACCTCCCGGGGTGAACTGGTCAACCCACACGTCCTGGAGGTCAGCTCCACTCACCAAGTTTGTAGAGAACGAGGGGAGGTGGAGTCCCGACAGTAAGCCCGACGGAGCAAGGATAGCATCGAAATCAAGATCAAAGATAGCAACATTCTGCTTAAGCAGATCACCCCAGCGGGGGAGCTCAGCGCCGTCAGGAAACTGGGCACGCCAGGCGTCAGTCAGGCGACCGAAGCAGCGCGGCGAAGTGTGCGGCAGTCCGCACGTCTCTCCACGGCGCCCGCCTGTGCGAAGAACGTAAGTGCAGGGACCAACACCCCCAGCCCTCCCACGCCCAGCGTACCACTCACGAAGCTGCAGAGGCGAAAGGGTCTCACGGGAACGCGGCTGCTGCTGGCGCTGGCTACCGCCAAAGCCTCCACGCTGTGCGGTACCTCCTCGGCCAGCACCACCACCGCCTCCACCTCCACCGCCGCTGCCGCTGCCTCCACCACCTCCACTGCCGCCCCCACTCCCGTCACCACCCCCACCGCCACCACCACCCCCTCCACCCCCTCCACCGCCTCCACCGCCGCCCCCTCCGTCCCCTCCACCACCCCTGCCCCCCTTGCCCTTGCTGTTGCGGCGCCTCCCACTAGGAGCAGACGCAGCCCCGACCTCCTCAGTGCCAACGAGGTCGACAGCAGCAGCAGAAGCAACAGAGGGGAGAAGGGGGACGGGGGAGCACCCCTCAAAGAAAGGGGGGCGAGGGTCGCCGCGAGAAGCACCTACAGCAACAATACTCTTCTCTGCTGCAGTAAGGCGCTCCTCAAGCAGGTCGACGGTGAGCTCAGTGGGGCAAAGGGAGAGAAAGTGGTCCCTGACTGAAGAGAGGGAGTCAGGGAGACGGGTGACTAGGTAGTAGAGAGTGATGTACATGGGGGGGGGGTTCTTGGCACAGAACTCAGTGGGAAGCGCAGCGCGGTAGCGGGTGTCACTAGTGCGGAGGTGAGTAACGAGGTCAGCGACTGTGGCAAAGGCAGCAAGGTCAGGGAACAAGTACGGCAGCATGAGGCGGCTGAGAGCAGCAGTGGCAGGGGAGGAGTAGCGCGCGACAACAGCGTCATACAGAGACTTTGCAGTCTTGTACTGGCCAAAGTGCGCGCGCTCAGCAGACGGCAGGTGACTACGAACAGCAAGACGAGCAACAGCGTCACGAGTAGTCCACTGCGAGCAAACCGTACTGTCAGCAGTGGCAGCAGGTGCAGGAGAGACACCGGACGTGTGATCGAACAGGGAAACTCCGTCCTTGGAGTCGCACTGGAGAAAGAGCTGTAGGTCGTCTACCCAAACCTCGAAGTCAACAGCACGACCCTCAGCATCAAAGGTAAGAACATTAGGACTAGCCATAGCGGCAGAAGCAGCAGTAGCAGCAGTAGCAGCAGTAGCAGTAGAAGCAGCAGAAGCAGCAGGGGCAGGGCAGTGCGGCTCAGTAGGGCGGCGCGGCTCGGTAGGGCGGCGCGGCTAGACTGGGCGGCTCGGCTCGGCTGGGCGGCGCGGCTCGGCTGGGCGGCGCGGCTCGGCTGGGCGGCGCGACTCGGCAGGGCGGCGCGGCTCGGCTGAGCGATGCGGCTCGGCTGGGCGGCGCGGGTGCTTACCAGGGGCGGGTGCAGGGCAGGGCCGCAGCTGGCGATTAGGTCAGGGCCGCGACTGGGGCGGCTGCAGGGCAGGGCCGCGACTGGGCGGCGGTAGAGCAGGGCCGCGACTGGGGCGGCTGCAGGGCAGGGCCGCGACGGTGAGGCCGCGACGGTGAGGCCGCGACGGCGGCTGCAGGTGCGTCAACGGCAAGGCAGGGCCGCGTCAGGTGCTGCAGGCGCGAGGGCGGCTGCAGGGCAGGGCACGACAGCGGGGACGTGACGGTGGCAGCAGGCGCGTCGGCGTAGAAGGGAGGGCCGCGACAGCGGCTGCAGGTCAGGGGCCGCGACTTGGGGCGGCATGGCAGTGCCGCGACGTAGGGCGGCAGGAGAGAGCCGCTACGGGCGGCAAAGCAGGGCCGCGACGGGCGGCAAAGCAGGGGCCGCAACGGGCGGCTCAGACAGGGTCGCGACTAGCGCGACAGCAGGGCAGGGCGCGCGACGGCGCAGGAGAGGCAGGCGCGACAGCGCGCTTCGGACAGGTAAGACAGTTTCAGTGGTGGGCCCTAAAAAAAAACGTTCCCACGGAGGGAACCTGCTCAGAATACCATGTCAGAATGAGAACGAAGGAATGATTGAACTAGCAAACAGTTGGGTACAAGTAGGAAACCTAGAAGTGTTGTACCCTATATTGACTACCCCACTACAGCCTACACAGACTATGTCATATATGTTTGACACAAACAGCATGGAGAACCACGCAGTGCAGTGGCACTACTGAGTGACATCCTTATTTAGCCAATGAGCTGTAATACCAGCATTCATAACCACTAATCCGTTTTGTTCAGTGTTGGTCGAGCAGAATGTGAGAGAAAGTTGATGCATGGCCCACCTGGTTTTTGTTTCGTTTCATTTTGTATTGTGTTTTTCCTGGCGATGCTATTGCAAATGATACAAAATCTGGGAAGATACTAGAGTGTCACAACAGGTCAAAGCTAGCTGATAATAATTTGTAGTTTTTGGATCTAGGGCATGAAAGTAATCGTTTTGAAGATGTGCTGTAGTGAGGACAACAGAACTTCAGCGCGGAACGCGTCGCTCCGGGTAACGCGTTCATGTCGTTTGGTCTTCTGTGCCGCCATCTGCGGGCACAATGTGTGCAATGCATGCCATGCCACTCGGGACGGGAGTTGGTGCCTTCATCTTGGCTTCGCTGGTTCATCTTCGTCGCTTCATCTCCACCGTTTCGCCAAGACACATCGCCTGTTTTTCTCATCGTTGTCTCGCCGGTTTTCGTCATCCCGTCGCCTACTTCGAAAAGTTCGCGAATCACCTCCAACCGGCGAAATGACGCGCATCGTCGGGAATCGTGTTTCTCTCAATTGCATCGACCCAAATTATCGATATCTCGCCACGTTGGCGTTTCTCTAATTTGGATGGACCGCGTTTGCGCGCGCCTGTTTGCTCGATTTTCCCCCCTTCCCCTCCGAAAATCGGGCAGCTCTGTTGACTAGGCGTGGAGTCACAAATAGTCGCAATTTCAACCTTGCCACGTAATGCCAACTTTTTCGGGATTGCCCGGCTTGCCACCTCAGCTTTCCGACAACGTTACGAAATCAGCGCCTAGAGCACTCGATCTCAAGAGGCTTGTATTCACAGTTATAGTATCGTAATTTGTTTAACGTTTTCGAGTCACCTGCCCAAACCACGGAACACCAAACCCAACCTTGAACAAACCAAACGATCCGCATGCATGTTACTCTAGCGCGCAAGAGCAATTACCACTGTTTTGACCAATCATAATTTCCTCACGTGGCGATATTTTGAGGTACGGTACAACAGTGTAATTGCGACTGTTTGTGATTCCACGCAAAGTCAACACAGCTGCCCGAATTTTGGAGGCGAAGGGCGGAAATTCGAGCGGAAAGGGCGCGCGCAAACGCGGTCCATCCAATTTAGGGAAACGCCTACGTGGCGAGGTCGGAGTAATTTGGGTCGATCCAATTGAGAGAAACGCGATTTTCGCCGATGCGCGTCATTTCGCCCCTCCAACCGTACATCTCCGCCGGTTCATCTTCAAACTGTCCAGCGCGCATCGTGCAGCACAATAGCAAAGCAGCACAGAAACAAATCCCAAAGCAGCAGGGAAAGTAATCCCAGAGCAGCAGGGAAACACTTCCGCTGCCAGTCAGCACAACACCGCAATGCGCAACTGTCATCCCATCTCATCGTCGTCCGCACTAGCCTTTCTCTGCCTCGCCTTTGGCAACATGATGCCTCGCCCTTCTCTCTTCTCGTTCTCTTCCAACAACCAGCCTGATCTCGACCCGTCGCATGCAACACATCGCATCGCGTTGTCTTGCAACAACCACCTCGCGAGTCTTGACGCGGTCCGATTCCCTGTTGGCCCGAACACCGCAACAATTCCCCTCACTCACACACGCCGGTCCCTCACGCATCTCGCTGTAGGGCAGATTCGGGGCTGTCCACGGGCCCCTCTGCGAACTACAAAAGCCCAGTCAAGCTAGCTAATTCTCATCAGCAACCACCGATCCGCCAGCGAGCTTGAGAGCATCTCAAGCCTCAAAATCTCGAGCTTCAGTCTCGAGCTTCCATCTCAAACCCGCCAGTCCACCCTTCCATTTCAAGCTTCTCCATCTCGAGGCGTTTCGACTCAGCCATGGCTGTCTCCCGCTTCTGCGCGCTGCCCGGCGCGCTCCTCGCGCTGGTCCTCCTCTCCGCCGCGTCGCTCCCGTCCCCCGCTTCCGCCTACCGCGCGTCGCGTATGCTCCTCTCGCCCTCGCCCGCGCCCGCGCCCGCACCAGAGGAAGACTCGGGCGGCGTCGTTGGGATGGAGACCATCCCGTCCCCTTGGCCCGCAACCAACGCGTCCATGGATGCCGCCGCAATCGCCGCCACCATCGACCCGAACGTGAACGACACGTACCCCGCGGTTCTCGATCCGATTTCCCAGCCGGATGGCTACTTCAGTGACGGGTTCTATGAGATGAACTTGATAGCGATGAACGACAAGGATGAGATCTATGAGGATCCTGAGTATGCTGAGATGGGAGAATTGGAGGAGTTATCGACTGAGGTTGATGAGAGCGAGGACACGGATGATACGGGAGCGAGTGTGGAGGCAGCAGTGAAGCAGGAAGAGGAGATAGTCACCATGGGGGCAGCAGCGGTGAATGATAGAGATGGAGATGGTGTCAACACTTTTGCAGCAGCGATCGTGGTTGAAGATGAAGCAGTAAATGCGAATTATATGGGAGTTGAAGCTGTGAAAGGGGACATCATGGTGAAGGGATCAAAGGTGAAAGCAACTGCAAAGGGGCGAGTGCTTACGAAGGAGGAACACGTTGAGGGGTGCGAGACCCGAGAGGAGTTGGGTGTTAAGATGCCGAGGAGAAGCGAGAGGCAGAAGAAAATATCTCAAGGTTTGGACGTCAAAGCGCTCAACTTCAAGACACGTAAGCAGAGGTTCAAGGTGCAGGAGATGCAGGGGAGCGTGAGGCCGACTTAGACCCTGTGAAGGCTACAAGAAGAAGGGGAGGAGTGCGAGTGGAGTTCGTGGTTGACGAACCACAGGGGAGATTGTTAGGGTTGGTTCGCCCAACCACGGAACCTACGGCGAAAGTCTCTACGACGGCGGAATGACGGCGAAATGGAAGCACGTGGATGATTCTAGGAGAAACGGTGGAAATCGGCCTACGGTGGAGAATGGAAGCTACGGCGTGCGAAGCGAGAGAGAAATCGGGAAGAAACTAGAGAAATGGAGAAAGAAGAGTGAAGAAGTATCGAGATTGAAGTTGACGAGGGGAAATTGTGGTTCGAGCTCGAGGCATGTTCGAGAAGGTTCCAGATTCGGACTTGAGGAGTGTTCGGTGCATTCGGTTCGGTTCCGTGTGCGACTCGGGGTGAAACGAGGCGCACGCGGTTACTTGGGAAACAAGTGAAGTTACGAATCGCATTTTGTGTCTTGCCTGACTATAAAACTGCTTGTACTCATTCTGGAAATCACAACATTGACAACATTGAAACCAATCAGATTCTGAAAATTGCTGAAGTGTGTATTGACAACTTCAAGCAGAGCTGCGCATATCGTTGGATTCGGGAGATCGTGGAGAACACGATAAGCAATAGCAAGTAGACTATTGCCGACTAAGGCGTTTACGATCCTAAGACTCTCGCCCTCGCCCGCGCCCGCGCCAGAGGAAGACTCGGGCGGCGTCGTTGGGATGGAGACCATCCCGTCCCATTGGCCCGCAACCAACGCGTCCATGGATGCCGCCGCAATCGCCGCCACCATCGACCCGAACGTGAACGACACGTACCCCGCGGTTCTCGATCCGATTTCCCAGCCGGCTCCCCCGCCGTATGTGGCGCAGAACCAGTTCATGGATCCCGCGGATATCGGCGCGGCGCTGGATCAGATCGACGCGCGCGCCGTGGCGTACTCGTCTACGCTTGAGGATACGAGTCTGCCGGAGGATGCGCCGGAGGAAGTCGCGAACTGGACCAACACGCTCGCTACTGATCCCGGATACGCCTCTTACCCTTACAAGAAGCCGCGGTGAGTGTTCGTCCTTGTATTTTTCGTTTCATATAGCAAATCACTCCTTGCCGCATCGATGCCGCTGAATTGCGCCGCGGTTCCAAGCGCTGTTGTTTCAACTCAGAGTCTGAGCTGTGTTGTGCTGTACGATGTGGTGTGGTGCTTTGCGGTGCGTGCAGGTTCCACCCGGTGTACGGGCTCGCTGTGAAGAAGCCCAACGGCAAGTGGTACACGTACATCAACAACAACCTGTCGTTGCCGGGCGTTGATGACTGGGCCACCGGCTTCAGTACGTTCTCACACTTCGCACACTCTCGCACAGAACATTCGCACGCCATTCGCACACTGTTCTCACACCATGGCAAACCTTCTCACACCTTTCGTCCCATCAACTGCCTGCATCCCGCACCTTCCAACATCGATTAACCTCCTCTCTCTTCCCCTCTCTTCCCTTCAATTATCCCTCGTTTCCCGCCCCCCTCCCCTCCCCTCACCAGAGACTTGCCGTTTCACCCAGCCCGACCCCGTCTACGGTTTCAACTGCACTGAGGATGCCACCTGCCCCGGATGCCCCTACTGCCGCGCGCAGCAGTGCTTCTTCAACCGCCACTGGCCCACCTACCGCAACCCCAAGTCCGATGGGACCATCCCCGGGCAGATGTACTGGCAGCGCATCATTGACGCTGCCATTAACCCTAAGAGGTATGGCGTGTGCATGAACGCCGGGACTCCCAATGACCAGGGATGCTTCTAGAGTGCCACAACGGCGCCGGGATTACCCAAGAACAGTGGTGCTTTAAGCGCGCCGGATTTTGTGGTGCGCTGAAGTGGGGAACTGATATCATGACGGGCAGGAGGAGTTTTGAAGTGGAGTAGGGAGGGAGGAGAGGGTGGAGGGAGCAGCTTGGTTGAGTCCGTTGGGGGAGTGCAATGTACTTTGGTGCGGGGGGTTTGTGTAATAAAAGGATTTTATAAAGCATTATTATATTCATCCTTCTGGTTTTGAAAAAACGTATGTGGTGGGTCATGAAAAGGTCATAGAAACAGGAAGCTTGGGATAATGAAATGAGTGCTAAAATCAATCACTTCTGAACGCTGCAAAATGGATGTTCCTCCAATTATCGTAAGAACTGGTTTCTATGAACTGTATAGTTCGAAGCTACCAAAAGCCTGCCTGGAAACCTACCGAGTTATTTTATTCAAGACATACAGTACCACCTACCGTTCGTTCCGTTGACTCTTGCCGGCTAGCCGTCAATCCGGCCTGTGGAAGCCTGCCTAACTGCTCCTCTCACCAGTTATACGCAATAGTGGAGGTATTCAAGCAGTAACAACGGTGTTTGGCGCGCGATAACCGTCCTTTCCGCGCGCATTGACAGCATGTGGCGGGGACGAAAGGCGCCCGCGGAAAGGCGCGCGGAGGAATCGGCGGAAAGCAGCGATGGCGAGACCGAGGCGAGTCGCGATGCGGAGAGTGATGCGGACGATAGCGGAAGCGACAGCGGAAGTGACGGGAACGAGATAGTAGACGAGGTTAAGGGGAAAAAACAGCGCGCGAGAGTGGGCCGAGACGAGGAACCGTCCAATGGGAAGCGCGGGCCAGACGCCAGTGATGCAGCGGAATTAGCGACACGTGGCAAGCCTTCTAGCCCTAGTGCAGTGCGGTTGCCTTGGCTGACGTGGCTTGCTCTGACTGGCTCGTATCTCGTGGCGCTGATTCTCGCCTTCAGTGTTTTCCGCGCAACTCTTCCCGCGCATAAGGACCCCCTCGCCCCGTGCAAATATCCGCCTTCCGCCAATGCGGAGAATGTTGAGACTTCCGCCAACGCCTCCGCAATTTCCGCCGCTGCTGGCGGGAGCCAACTGGCGAACGCGACGCGATGGACTAATGCCACGTGTCCTGTCCCGTGGCACCCAACCGTGGACGTGCTGACGTGGCGGTGGTCCCCGCTAGCGGCGGCGGCGGCCGTGTTAGGGTTCATGATTTGCGCATTGCGCGCTTTGGGGAGCGGATTGGCGGAACTCGGCGCGCTGGAGGAGCGCCTTCGCGCATTAGAAGGGGGAGGGGCCGGGCGCGGGGGAAGGCTGGGGGAAGGCGGGGCGGAGGGGGAAGAGGGCGGAAGCGGACGGGGGAGGGGGGCAGAGGGGATCGGAGGGGTGTCAGGTTCGGTAGGAGGTTCGGAGGGAGGTTCAAAAGGAAGGGCGGTGGTGACAGCTGGCAGCAAGCTGGCGGTGTCAGTGGGGCGGAGCTCTCTCTTGGGGATTCTGGTGCATGAGATAAGAGCGCCACTTAGAGGTAAGTAAGGGCGGCTTTTAGTGGTAAGAGGCGCTCATAGAGGTTGTGAGGGCAGCGAGTAAAGTGATACTAGCCAGCCACATAATAGGCCATATCAGATCAAATCAGATCAAATATAATTAGGTCAGATCAAACTGGGTGCGCTGTTGAGGGCCTTCTCGTTTCTCCCCCAACTCACCTCGTCAACCCTCATTCCCCCTCTCCCTCCCCACCCACACCACACCAACCAACCACCCACCACCCACCTCCTCCCAACTCCCCGCACTCATCACCCTGTTATTGCCGGTGCCGGCCCATGGCCTGCCATCTCTTCATCTCTCCTTCTCTTCCTCCTCCCGCCCCCCCTCTCCCCCACCTCCCCCCCACTTCCCCTCCCCCCCCACACGCATTGTTCTCTCTCGCACACACTCACTTTTTCACTCTCAAACTCCAGGCGTCCTCCTTCCTCCCCTCTCTCTCCCCTCCCCGCCACCCTTCCCCTCCCCACTCACATCGCTCTCACACACACACACACACACTTTCTCACTCTCCCTCTCATTCTCCAGGCGTCCTGGGTCTGCTGCAGCTGCTGCTCTCCTCCTCCCTACACACAATCACTCTTTAACACTCACTCTCTCCCTCTCCCTCTCTCCAGGCGTCCTGGGTCTGCTGCAGCTGCTCCTCTCCTCCTCCCTTTCCCCCTCTCACGCACACATTCGCTCTCCCTCCCACCCCCCACTTCCCCCCTCCCCTTTCCCCCTCCCCCTCCCTCTCTCATTCTCCAGGCGTCCTGGGTCTGCTGCAGCTGCTCCTCTCCTCCTCCCTTGACGAATCGCAGCACGACATGCTGGCAGCCGTGCAGGCCACGGCGCGCCACGTCATCCACGTCGCCAACAACGTCGTCGACAGCTGGCGCATCGAGAACCGTCGGATCGCCGCCGCCTCCTCCGCCGCCGCCTCTTCAGCCGCCGCTGCAATTTTCCGCGGGGAAAGAGGGGGGGACGGTGGGGGGGGAGGCGGGGGGAGTGCTGGGCGGGCAGGGGGAGGTCTAGAGGTGGCAGGGAGGGGCAGGGCAGGGGCGGTGGAGAGGGGGAGTGTGGTGCGATTGGGGTTAGAGAGTGCGGTGTTTGACCTGCGGTGTGTGGTGGATGAGGTGGTGCGGCTGGTGGCGGGCGAGGCGAGGGAGAAAGAGGTCGAGTTGGCCGCGCTGGTCATGGACTCAGTTCCTACTGTGGTTGTTGGGGACCCGCTCAGGCTGCGCCAGGTGAATAGGATTGGCACTGGTGGGTTAGAGTAAGGGATAGGTAGGCAGGTCGCTGCTGTGTGGAGCTGGCAGCGCCGCTGGTTATGGACTCCGTTCCTACCGTGGTGGTGGGGGACCCGCTCAGGCTGCGCCAGGTGAGATGCTCTAGTCTCTCAGTCCTCCTTTCTCCCCCTCCTCTTCGTAAGTAGCGAGGCGAGGGAGAAGGGCGTGGAGGAGCTGGCTGCGGCGCTGGTTATGGACTCGCCCACGGTTGTTGTGGTGGGGGACCCGCTCAGGCTGCGCCAGGTGAGGGTGTGATGGGCGAGGGAGAAGGGCGTGGCGGAGCTGGCAGCGCCGCTGGTTATGGACTCCGTTCCTACCGCTCAGGCTGAGACAGGTGAGATGGGAGTGGTTCTTTGGTGGGTGTGGCACAGGTGGGTTTGCGTTTTGCTCCTGTGGGATTCTCTCCCTACCCTCTCATTCTCTTCCTCTCTCCCCAACCCAATCTTTCCCCAACCCACTCTCTCTCCAACCCACTCTCTCTCCAACCCACTCTCTCTTCAACCCACTCTCTCCCCAACCCACTCTCTCCCCAACCCACTCTCTCCCCAACCCTCTCTCTCCCCAACCCACTCTCTCCCCAACCCTCTCTCTCCCCAACCCACTCTCTCCCCAACCCACTCTCTCCCCAACCCACTCTCTCCCCAACCCTCTCTCTCCCCAACCCACTCTCTCCCCAACCCACTCTCTCCCCAACCCACTCTCTCCCCAACCCTCTCTCTCCCCAACCCACTCTCTCCCCAACCCTCTCTCTCCCCAACCCACTCTCTCCCCAACCCACTCTCTCCCCAACCCACTCTCTCCCCAACCCACTCTCTCCCCAACCCACTCTCTCCCCAACCCTCTCTCTCCCCAACGCTCTCAATTGCCCCAACGCTCTCCGACCCCCATTCGCATCCTGGCCAATCTAATGGCCGTGGCAATGCGACTCACGAGATGACTTTTGAGTCGACTCAAAAGTGACCCCCATTCGCATCCTGGCCAATCTAATGGCCGTGGCAATGCGACTCACGAGATGACTTTTGAGTCGACTCAAAAGTGACCCCCATTCGCATCCTGGCCAATCTAATGGCCGTGGCAATGCGACTCACGAGATGACTTTTGAGTCGACTCAAAAGTGACCCCCATTCGCATCCTGGCCAATCTAATGGCCGTGGCAATGCGACTCACGAGATGACTTTTGAGTCGACTCAAAAGTGACCCCCATTCGCATCCTGGCCAATCTAATGGCCGTGGCAATGCGACTCACGAGATGACTTTTGAGTCGACTCAAAAGTGACCCCCATTCGCATCCTGGCCAATCTAATGGCCGTGGCAATGCGACTCACGAGATGACTTTTGAGTCGACTCAAAAGTGACCCCCATTCGCATCCTGGCCAATCTAATGGCCGTGGCAATGCGACTCACGAGATGACTTGTGAGTCGACTCAAAAGTCATCTCGTTACAATGTCACACGGCGTATTTTCTTTTTGAGTCGACTCAAAAGTGACCCCCATTCGCATCCTGGCCAATCTAATGGCAGTGGCAATGCGACTCACCTACCACGCCCACGTGTTCCTGGTCCCTCTCCATTCCTCTCCATCCCCCTCCACCTTTCCCACCCTCCACTCCCACCTTGCCCTTTTGATCTACCCATCCCCCTCTTTCCCCAACCATCAGATCCTCGCGAATCTCATGGCAGTGGCGGTGCGGCTCACCGACCGCTGGCACGTGTTCCCTTTTTGCCCTTCCCCACTCATTCATACCATCCCACTCTCCCTGACTCACCGTTCCCCAGCCCCCTCCCCTCCTGTATCAGATACTCGCGAATCTAATGGCCGTGGCGGTGCGTGCGTCTCACCGACCGCGGGCACGTGTTCCTGGTGGTGTGCCTGGCCCTCTCCATCGCCCTCTCATCCTCCCTACCCCACTCTCCCTGAACCAACCACACCACCACACACACACCCCCCACCTATCCCCCTTGATCAGATCCTGGCCAATCTAATGGCAGTGGCGGTGCGACTCACCGACCGCGGTCACGTGCTCCCTTCTTTCCCTCCTTACCCACCCTACCCCTCACCCCCTCCCTGCTCTCCCCACCGTCAGATCCTCGCCAATCTCATGGCGGTGGCCGTGCGTCTCACTGACCGCGGTCACGTGTTCCTGGTGCTGCCCTCTTCATCCCTCTCTATCCCTCTCCACCTTTCCCACCCTTCGCTCCCTCCTTACCCTTTCAATCTACCCATCCCCCTCTTTCCCCCCATTCAGATCCTCGCCAATCTCATGGCAGTGGCGGTGCGGCTCACCGACCGCTGGCACGTGTTCCCTTTTTGCCCTTCCCCACTCATTCATACCATCCCACTCTCCCTGACTCACCATTCTCCCCCCCCCCCCTCCCCGCCTCTATCAGATCCTCGCCAATCTCATGGCAGTGGCCATGCGTCTCACTGACCGCGGCCACGTGTTCCTGGTGGTGCGCCTGGCTCCGGACGACGATGAGATGCGGCGCATGGCGGATCCCAACTCGCCTGACGACATGGAAGGTGCGTTGAGTGTTTGGCTTGCAACGAGCTCCATCTGTGGAGCTTTGTCACATCTGTGGCTTTCTGGTGGTGCGCCTTGCACCGGATGATGATGAGATGAGGCGCATGGCAGACCCAAATTCGCCTGACGACATGGAAAGTGCGTTGAGTGGCTCACCGCACCGCATCTGTGCCCACCGCATCTGTGCTCAACGCAGTGCTCACCGCATGCGGTGGGCACAAGTGGATAGGGGTTACTTGTGCCCACCGCATCTGTGCTCTGCTCCCCTTCTTGTCTTCCTCGTGCTGCGCCCGGCGCCTGGATTGGACATGAGATGAGGCGAATGGAGGCCCTAATTCTTCTGACGACATGGAAGGTGCGTGGGTTGACTTGACTGGCATGTGGTAGGGTGACCACTCTTCGGGTACTGCTGCACGTCGCCGCTCAGTGTGACTACGAGCTTCACTCTCTTGACTTCAGCATAGCTTTCTTACAGGGCAGCCTGCACGAGGAGATCTGGCTGCGCCGCCCACCTGGCTTCACTGGGTCGTTTTCTACAGGTACTCAGTGGAGCCTCCGGCGGCCAGTCTACGGTCTCCGCCAGGCGCCTCGCGAGTGGCACGACAGACAGAGGACGACTCTTGCGGCTCTTGGGTTTGCTCCTTCGACTGCTGACCCGTCGCTGTTTCTACGCACCGACACTTCGCTGCCGCCGTTCTACATCCTCGTGTATGTCGACGACTTGGTCTTTGCCACTGCTGACACTGAGGGACTGGCCCTAGTGAAGTCGGAGCTGCAGAAGAGACACACGTGCACAGACCTGGGTGAGCTGCGCAGCTATCTTGGCTTGCAGATCACCCGGGACAGAGCACGGCGCACCATTACCTTGACTCAGTCACACATGGTGCAGCAGGTCCTTCAGCGCTTCGACTTCCAGTACTCCTCGCCACAGTCCACTCCTCTGCCTACTAGTCACTCGCTCTCAGCTCCACCTTCGGACGAGTCCGTAGAGCCGAGTGGTCCGTATCCAGAGCTTGTGGGCTGCCTCATGTACCTGATGACCAGCACTCGTTCTGGCCTTGCTTACCCTCTTAGCATCCTGGAACGCTACGTTGCGCCCGGGAGACACCTACCAGAGCACTGGAAGGCCGCTAAGAGGGTGATGCGCTACTTGTGCAGTACTTCGGGCATGCGGCTCGTGCTTGGAGGACGGGGTCCTATTGTCCTCACTGGACACGCAGACGCCTCTTGGGTTGACGACTTGGCTACGCAGCGGTCGTCACAGGGTTACACTTTCAGCCTTGGCCCCGGCTCTGTTTCTTGGCGGTCTACCCGCTTGCTTCTGTTCTCAGCTCCAGTTGTGAGGCTGAGATCTACGCAGGGGCCATGGCTGCACAGGAGTTACGCTGGCTCACCTACCTGCTGACCGACTTGGGAGAGCCGCCTCGTTCTCCTCCAGTTCTGTACGTCGACAACCAGGCCATGATTGCCTTGTGTCAGGAGCACAGAGTGGAGAACAGGACGAAGCACATCGCTCTGCGCTACTTCCTTCTCGTGAGTTGCAGCAGCGTGGTCAGCTTCGTCTTGTTTACGTGGCCTCTTGGGCCAACACTGCTGATGTCTTCACCAAGGCACTTCAGCCTTGTGATCGTCAGCGTTTCTGTACTGTTCTAGGCCTTGTGCCTACTTGGCCTCACTTGCTTACTTCTTGACTTTGCTTGTACTTTGATCTATATACTTATACCTGTATGCGTACACTTGCTAGGTTTTGATCACTGTACTGTTTGTTCTGCATTATATAACTCTGCATGTGAACTGGCCTTGTGGCCATTTGCTTGTGCTCGGAGTGTGTGGTGACTTCGTGATCCACCCTGAGCTTGCTTTGCTTTTCTTGACTGGTCTTGTGACCTCTTGTTCTCCCCCATTTTGCCTATGGGGGTGTATCAAACTTATATGCTGCATGTTGTGTAGGCTGTAGTGCGGTAGCCCATATGGGGTACAACCCAATTAGGGTTTGCTACTTGTACTCATGCATGCTGCTAGTTCATTCATTCTCGTTCATTATTCTGACACGTACGACCATTCGCGTCATTCCGTTTTTTTGTCTTCAGCCTCGGTATAGCATGACTCGCTTGCTTCTGTCATGAAGTCATGAGTGCACATTGTTCTTTCTCAATTCACTGTTCGTAACACCCCCCTTCACTCCAGGCCGTAGCAAGTCTTGACCCGCTTGACTACTCCGCTGAGTTCGGAGCAGTGCTGGTACTGCTAACGCGACAGTCGCTTCGTGAGGAAGTCAGCTGCCATGTCACCCGTCGGGCAGTAGGTCAAGTCAACTTTGCCCTTGTCAACTTCTTCCTTGACGAAGAAGTACCGCATCGCAATGTGTTTGGTGCGGTTGACGAACCCAGGTTTGTTCACGATCCTGATCGCGCTCTGATTGTCGCAGTGCAGGCGAAAGGTGGGCGAAGTTTGAATTTTGGCCTCCTGTAGGTAGAGCCCCTTGCGAACTGCTGCTGTTGCGGCGATGAACTCAGCTTCCGCCGATGACAGGGCAACCAAATCTTACTTTTGCGAATTCCATGAGATGGGCCCCGTAGGTTCGAGTCGGAACAGGAACCCAAATCTGGACCGTCGATTGTCCGGGTCAGCAGCGTGATTGGCGTCCACGTACCCGGTGAGGTTGAAGGATGGTGTGTTGACTGTGGAATAGCAGAGTCGAATGTTAGGCATGGAGATGAAGAACTGCAGGGCGCGCTGAAGATCTAGGAAATTCTCAGCCGTCGGTTTGCGGGAGTACTGAGCTAGTTGGCTCGCGATGTACGAGAGATCAGGCCTGCAGGTGACAGAGGCGAAGAGCAGGCAGCCTAGCTGCTGGTTGTAAGTCTGAAGCCCAGCGGGGGACAGGGTTTTGTTGTCGGGCTTGTGATTCGGTCCGAAAGTGCGGTAAGGGGTGGAGAGTGGTGTAGGCGCAATGTTGAAGCGTTTGCCAAGTTCTTCTGCATACTTGGCTGCTGAGAGGTGAATTGCTTCTGGCGAGTAAGAGATGTTGAGGCCGAGGAACTGCTTCACGTCATGGTTGTAGGTGATTTCGACGCGCCCCGCCAAGTTCTTTTCAAATTGTTCAAGCAGCTCGTTGCTTGACCCTGTATAGAGCAGGTCGTCGACGTAGACTGTGAGCAGAATGTAGTTGCCGCGGAAGTCTCGGCGGTACATTCCCGGATCGTGGGGCAGTTGCTTGAAGCCTATCTCGAGCAGGATGTTGTGCAGGTACTGCTGCCAGAGCCTGGGCGCCTGTTTGATCCCGTAGAGGGACTTCCGCAATTCGCACATGCGTGAGTCTCCTTCACCGTATGTGTGCGGCTGCTCCACGTAGATTACTGCGTCCACCAACGCATAGAGGAATGCGTTCTTCACGTCAATTTGTCGGAGTGGCAGGTGTCGTGCGGCAGCGATGGCGAGCATAATTCTGACGGAGGTGTGACGGCTGACGGGCGCGAATGTTTGGTCGAAGTTGATGCCGTGCCTCTGATCATAGCCACGTACGACCCAGCGCGCCTTGAAACGCTCGATCGTCCTATCTGCTGCAGTCTTCGCGCGAAAGACCCATTTGCCGGAGAGGATTCTTCTCCCTTTGACTGCGGCGCGATCGACGAGCACCCACGTGTCGTGGGATTCGAGCGCTTGGATTTCTTGGTCCATCGCCTCACGCCACTCCTTGCTGTGGGGACCCGTCAGCGCTTGTCGCTGGTTCTTTGGCTCGATGACGCGTGGTGCTGTTGACGTGGCGGTGTGGAGTCCCAACAGCTGTAGCCCTCAGACGGTGCTGTCGTGGCGGTGCTGGGGGAAGACCTCCTGCACATCATCGTCATCGCTCTCGGGTTCAGGTGGCGGTGGCGGTGCTGCGCCTCTGCTGCTTCCTCCTGCTCCGCCGGCTCCTCCTGTAGGGGAGTCGTCATCGTCATCGTCGCTGCTGTGGCGATCACCTCCTGTGAATTCGCCTCCGGTGTCCTGCTCCAGGATGGCTGCAGCAGCTTCGTCCTCTGGCGTGGCGTAGCTGTGCCCGTCGTTGGCGTAGACTCGGTTCGCATTCGTCCGCTCGTCTTCGCGGAACTGGGCGAGGTTGAGCCGTTCGTAGAAGATGGCGTCGCGTGCCTTCGTGATCTTCTGGCTGAGGAGGTCGAGGATGATCCACGCCTTATATTCGCGGCTAATGCCGAGGTAGATTCCCCAGCGCGCGCGGCTTGCAAACTTCCCGATGGTTGAGGTCGGCGGGCGATATTGCACCATGCACCCCCAGACGCGGAGCATGGATGTGTCACCTTTCGTGCCCGTCCATTTCAGGTGCAGGGACATGTTTCCGGTGATGACGGTGGTTGAGAGGAGGTTGTGCACTCGTACGGCGTGGTGAGTTGCGTACGTCCAGTACGTCCGGGGAAGCTTTGATTGCTTGAGTAGCGCCCGCACCTTCGTCATGAGCGTGCGGTTTGTGCGCTCGGCGACACCTTGCTGCTTGTGTGCGTAGGGGAGGGAGATGTGGTGCTCGATTCCTTTCTGCGCCAGGAAGTCCTGTATCTCCTTGCTGCGAAATTCCGCCGCGTCGTCCGACTGCCAGATCTTCAGTTTCTCTCCGGACTGCCGCTGCGCGTGCGCCAGCCAAAGGCGGAGGGGCTCGTATGCTCTGCTGCGGACCTCCAGGTTTACGATCCACACGTAGTTGGTTCCTGCGTCGACGAAGGTGAGCGTGTACTGCTCGTTGTTGGTTCCGCAGTAGCCCACGACGAGGAAGTCGCTGTATACCTTTTGCAGTTTGGTGTAGCGGTTGGTTCCGAGGTCTAGCAGGGGGATTGGTTGGTGACTCAGCGCGGCTTCGGGGCAGACGGTGCAGTTGCGCGGTTGTGAAGTGCTCCTCACTTCGGTGCCGTCAGGGCGCAAGAGCGCGCCAGGCGCAAACACACCGGCTTCGATGCAGTTTCTCAGCGTCATGCGCGAGGGGTGACCGAGGCGCTGGTGCCAAAGGTCATCGTTGGCGCGCAGTCCAGAGGTGCGCATGTAGCGCGCGCGCACTGCTTTTGGATCCTCTTCAGGTGCTGGAGCAGGTTCCGCCGACGCTTCTTCTCCTTCTTCCTCGTTCATCGTTGTCAGCATCAGCACCAGAAATTCTCTATCGAGAATCACGGAGAAGGGAATGTTGGTCCCGTGGATTTTTCCAGGGACGAAGGTTGGCTCGCGCGGCTCGGGGTCAGGTCCGTAGACTGTGCGACGTGGGGTCGAGGGCTCATTGCCCCAGTCGATGGTGTCCCAAGGGTCGCGGTGCGGTTGAACATCGGGGGGAGGT